ATTGGCTGGCTAAACTTCAGCTCCTTCAGGAGGACTTTGGTGTAACTTAATGACTGGCTAAACCTTTCTGCTGCTGCTCATCTGCTGTTGATTCTGCTGGAGATTATTCTACTGCTATCCAGTTCATTACTGTGCTTTAAGTGATGGTTTCTTATCTAAAAATAACCCCATGCTGTTGTCCGCTCTGAACTCTCAAATAGAAGAAAAGTGGAATAGACACTACCACAAGAGCAATGCAGTTGTCAGTTGTCCCTGGGAATTTTGGGAGTTTGTGGTGGGGCTTGGGGAGGGTTTGGAGTTGCAATGGATCGCATTGCACTTTTGATGATGCCACGGGGGTTTCATAGGTGGGCTTAGGATAAACAGAGCTCTCACTTGCCAAGGGGACACCTGAGGGTCGCAGAAAGAGAGTGACAGACCCTCCCTCCCTCTCATGTGACTGGAATAGCAGTGAGGTAATGAGGGGAAGGGGCTGTGGGAGGAAAAGAGGAATTCTTCTCTAGCTCAGATGAAAATCCAGGCCACTCAAGGATCATAGTGTCCACTTCATATTTAAGAAAAGCATTATGAGTAATCAAGGTTTGTATATTAAATCAATATCATACTTCCTGGTGAGAAAGATAGAAATTTTGGCTGTTTACCTTGCCGCATTGCAAATACATCCAGCAGGCAGCATTTTAGACAGCAGTTGCATCTTTATTTTTTGCCAAAGCAAATACATGAAAGATTATTTAAATCCAAGTTGTGTGGTTTGCATTTCCCATCAACAAATATTTGAAGGATAGTTATCTACCTCTGGTACGTAAGACATCTGATGTGTTTGTGATGGCACTGAATTTACTACATTTTCCACCAGAGGGTGTTGGGCAAGCTTTTGGCAGCCTTTCCAACAAGCACACAAATAAATGGCTGGGGGTTTTTTTACTGCCCATTGTGGAATGTGGCATTTTGTTTGTGCTATAAATTTCTTTACAAATACCCTGACTCAGAAAGTGGAGGAAAATGAGAAAGGTACAGGTGAGGGGTTGGGGAAAACTACAAGGAAATTTGGTGAGTATTGTGGGTGAAGGGTGAAGGTAATTTCCGGTTGATGAAATCCTGCTTGCTCTCAGATAAAGCAGGTTATTAAACAGCAAATTCACTAAGTTCAATATATCATGTCAGTCATCTGCAGCTGGTGGGAATAAATGTTTTTTTTTATTAAATAAATAAATAAATGAGGGCATCTTTGCTGTGTCAATGGAAGCAATATTATAGCGACCCCAAAGGGAAGAGGCAACCATTACTCACAAAGTGCAATTCACACAGGCTTCCACTTTTAGTATTTCTGGGTAACATACAGAGCGATCCTCACTGTCATCAAACCTAGTTGTAAAAATGGTCTTGCAAGGACCCAGAAAAAATTATCATAGTAGAGATGTTTTAAAACATATTGCTATATTTCTGTGAATATTTTTGCTTTCCCATGTGCTGGCATGGATGTTTGAGATAGTGGTCTGAAAATGTATGCCTCCCATTCAGAAACAGACGATCAGTATAAATTAACTTCATCCTGTATATACAATGAAGCCATTTTCTTTCATGAACAATGGTGGCTAATATACTGATATGTATGAGTATTGTGGCAAAATCCAGATGTGCTGGAGTAACTGGACATGGGAAGGGGTCAATTTCCTTCCTGAGTTTAAATCACCCCATGGATGAGCTAATTGCAGGTGCAAGGTAAGCCAAACCAGTAGCTTTAGTAAACCAGTGTTCTGGCTATATCTGGGATTAATGCATGTTGGCTCAGTTCAATGGTATCTGTCTGTCTTGGGAGACGATGGAGGACTGAGCATTTGCGGGTGAGGTCAAGCTGTTGGATGATTGCAGCACCTGCTGTGGCTGTAGAGACCAATGTAGGAGAGACATTTTTTGTTGCAGCTGGGCCAGATGAGGGCATCCAGTTGTGTTGCTGCAGAGGCACCCGGGCATTTCTTCCCTCTGCACTCCTCCCAGCAGTCATTTCTCCTTTGGTTGCTGCTATAGTAGTCTGCAGTTAGTCTGTGAGTCATCAGTTTGTTGGTGTTACTTGTCCAGTGTTACATCTTGAATTTCTGGAGTTTATTTGGAGCAATGGAGATTCTTTGTACTTATATGTTTCTGTATATATTTGTATCTACAAAAGCCTACAAGTGTACATATCTATGTCTGGAACTGTTTTACGGAGCCTTGTCTTCTCCAAAAGTAAACTATTTGTTGTTGTTTTTTAAATGATATTTATTGAAAATTTTTAGAATTACAAAAGAGAACAAAGCAGAAAAAGAGAAAGAAAAAACAAAACAAAAAACAAATCACATCAAACAATACAAATTCAAAAAACAAAAATACACCACAAACACTCAAAAACAAATCCATCATTCTCAAATCCTCAACTGTCATTACCTTCTTTCTTTGACCTCCTCCTCCTCCCTTTTTTTGTATCCTAGTTGTTAATTGTCGCAGCAAATCCTTTCCATATTTCATAATATTCTGTCATTACATTAACTTGATCTATTTTAATCTTATCTTACTATAAAGAACCTTAAAGCTTAAAACTTAAATCTTATTTTTACCAACTTCTCATAACCATAATATTCTTACATAATTCTTTAAACATTTTTGCTAAAGCCAAGTAATTTCATTCCAACATTTTTCTAACATTCATCACTTTTATAAAGCAATCCTAGTAGTAAAAAAAAGAAATAAAAACAATCCAATCTTCATCCAGCATCCCTTCCTCCTGGTCCCGGGTTTTGTCAGTTCTTATTATCCCATCGATCTAGCGCATTAACCTGGTAACCTTGTATCCGAGGCCCTTAAGTCTCTTCCATGTCCCTCCCACAGCTCTTCTTCATATTTATAACTGTATTTTCCTTTGTCTCCTGCTCCTTTCACTTGTGGGAACTCCAACTTAACAATGTTTTTGACCCTTCTCGACAAATCAGCCCCTTTTCCATAGTCCACACTAAACTCCATGTGGTATTTAAGAACATGTTTCAAAATCCCTCCAAAATTAAGAGCCCCCACAACCCCAAACATCTCACGGCCCATTGCCAGACTTGAAAAGTCCAAACACCCTGCATAGGGGGGTCTATCCAACCCCCCATTTCCAAACCAAACCAAACTTTATCTTTCCAAATCTGGCTTTTCCCAAGTTCATTTGTCAAGTCCAAAAGCTCATGTTCCTGCTGAGCCACAGCTCCCTTCATCTCTGGCGCCCAAGATTCAGCAACATCTTCTTCCCTCATCTGTTCTGTCAGGGCACACTCCTGATTTAATTCCTGGGTGGGCTCCATATAATTTCCCACTGCCTGTTCAAAATTTCTGATCGCATCAGTCATCAAGTCCGTCTTCTCATGTAGCTGTTCCAGTAGGGCATTTGTTTTACACAAAGCACGCAACAGAGCTTCTGAATACATTGTCCTGCAAGGTCAGAAGTCTATTCCCACGATTGTAATCTGTAACAGCTGCTAGCTCCCTGGAGTTGGTTACAGTTTCACAGTATCCCTCCAGGGGGAAAACTTCTATTTGTTCTTTCTTTTAAAGACAAGTCTAACAACAAAGTTTCCTTTTTCAGATATTTTGTCAATATTTGTTCCTTTAAAATGCGAAGGGGAACAATGGAATCAATGTTTCTCTTCTTATAGCTATCTGTCAAAAACGTTTGTCTCTGGTCAATGAGCTTCAAAAAACGTCAGTCCTGACACCCCGCTCCAGGAGCAGGACGGTGGAAAGTTACTTTACTTTACACTCACTTCTGCAGGTTTAAACAGTCCGCAAAATCCCCTCTTCTCCTGCTTCCGAAGGGGGTTCAACAATTTTAAATGATGAAAGTTAATCCTTACAAGCGATTTTCTGAGCTCTAGTTTGCCATGTCTTTGCTTTAATCTATCTACAAGAAACGGAAGGCTGACTTCCTGTTTAGACCTTCCCGTTTCAGTGCCAAATTGAGGTAAACTTTTAAGTCCAATTTTCCTTTCTGCTCGCAAGTCCTTATTTAAAGTCCAATTGTCCGAAATTTAAGTACTCACGGGTGATTATTTTAGAAGCCAGATTGTCCCAGGAAAAAGGCAGCGCTCTCCGGCAACGGCTGTGCGGCTTCGCTCCACGGAAGAAGCAGTTGACTCTCAGCACCGCGCCACTTCCCCCTCTTCGCTCCGGAGCCCGTTAGTGGGTTCCTTTGTGGGTTGGGGGGGCGCTAAGGGTGCCCGCCGAGTCCCATGGTCACAGGCTTCATCCGCCTGTGATTTTTGAAAGGGTCCCCGCTTCGCCGTAGCGGAAAAGACCCGTTTCGTGTGGAGCTAGTCCCTCCATATCAGAGGTAGTCCGCCATTGCCGATGGCGCCACCCCAGAAGTCCAAAAGTAAACTATTTGGACCTTAAGCTGCTTCTGTATGGTGACTAGTATTGGGAGCAACTTCCACTGTGTCTGTATCTCACCCGAGCTTCCCAATAAGAGGTTTGCCTATCTCACATTTGGTAATTTAAAAGAGAACCAACATATTCAAAGAGAGCCAGGGGGAAAACCATTTTGGATTTGGTGACGAGTGAAGCAAGTTTTATGAGCTATACTCCATTTCCAAGGATATGTTTTAAGAGAAATTGTTATCCTAGAACCTGCACTGGAACACAATCAACTCTGCCTGCTATTGTTGATATGCTTGAGTACCTGATACAGCCATAGTGACCAAGCAGCCCCAAGGTCTTCAGGCTGGGGGGAAAGCAAGAAAGGTTTAAAAATAATCACTAGACAATGACCTGGCAGCTGTAATATTATTATTGAGACTAATAGAAGGGAAATAAAGTAATTAATTATACTTGTTTGGACTATTGACATTGTTGTTATTATTATAATTTGTTCCCAGCCCTTCACTCTATGGTCTTAGGGTGAGTTACAAGAATTAAAACACAACATTAATATTAAAACACAATTTTATACAATATTACAAACAGTTTAAAGCAACTTAAAATTAATGCATCTAAGAAGTGAAGATGGACTCCCGTATGGGTGGTGGTGGTGGGGAGGGTGACAGAGGAAGAGTTGCATTGAAGATAGGAGACCACAGAAGAGGTATGAAAACCATTCTGCTGGACCAAACCAGAAACACCATCTTGCTAGAAGTCTTCAAAGGTCTACGCCCAGCCAGTCTTCTACAGGCTGCCCCTGTTATTATTTGTCAAAGCAACACTGTGTTATAGAGTCATCTCACTTGATATCAGTGACCTTCTTTCTCACTGGGAAAATTGAGGCTAGCAACAGTGATGGCCTCCCACATTTTAGGGAATTGGCTACCATGCAAGAAGGAGAGCTCAATCTCTGCCCATCTTAAAGGGGTTCTTCGGCATAGAGCCCACACTTCTTGTTTCCATTTGAAATCAATCACTTGAGTTCTTCCCCCACACCTGGAACATATGGGTCTGCTTTATCAGGCCACTCATCCATCTACCCCATAATCTATTCTAATTGGAAGTGGCTCTCAGCTGATTCTTTGTATCACAGCACATGCCAAGCTGGATCCTTTCACTTCCTGATTATATTACCAAAAGTACAAAAAGATCCCTTGCTTCCCCCAACCCTATACAAGTATATTTGAGCCCTGCAGAAAGACCTGCATATTCAGCATTCATTCTGATATGCTTGCACAAAGGTTACACAGCTGTTAGATTATGTCCAGTCTTTATTGAGCATTCATTCTGATTTGCTTAGAGCAGGCATATCCGAAGTCCATTTTGGGGAGCTAATCTGGTCCACCGGTCAACCCCTGTGACAATTTATTTCCTGGGGGGAAATCCTAAAAAACCTCAACAATTTCAATCCAAAAAAAGCTCAACAACTTCTTCAATCCTAAAAAAAAAGGTTAACAACTTTGGTTGGTACTTTTGTCAACCCACACAGTCCTTCACTTCATCAAATCTGGCCCTCTTTGAAAAAAAGTTTGGATACTACAAAGGGAGAATTCCAAGAGAATACTTTTAATGTAGCACTCCAAGAAATGCTGCAAGTTTCAGAAAGTCACCTAATCACTGGTGGAGGAAGAGGGTTGCAGGGGAGTGCACCACCCCCGGCAGCGCGATCCCGGTGGGGTGCCATTGTGGCTGCCCCCCCCATGCTGGGTGCAACACCCCCTGGGCACGCACCAGCCACCCACCCACCTGCTCTCCGCCACCCGGTTCTGGAACATGAAGCTGCGTCACTGCACATAATGCACTCCAAAATCAGAAATTTTAAAACCATTCCAGCACTGTGGCATTTCACTTTTTCTCTGCATCTTTTATGTGAACTATGTACTGGCTGTTTCTTTGAGTATCTTTTTTCCAATTTATTTTTATTTGGTAATTTATTTTTATTTGGTAACCATTTCTCCCTTTCCCGGGAAGGAACAAAAACATTCTAGGTTCTCAGTGTCCCTGAATTAAGAGTCTGACTCCTCAGCCATGCCTTCCAAGGGGTCACTGGCTGGTGTGCCTTTCCACTGTCATGAGATCAGAAGAGGACCGTTTCACTGGCAGATTGTGATTTTCATACACAAGGATTCTGTTTTAGTCATTTATTCTTATTTTGTTTTAGTCATTTATTCTTATTTTTACTTGGCACCACAGGCAGCTCTCCCCCAAAATGGCAAAGGCTACAATCCCACCTACATGGGAGGAAGCCCCAGTGAATTCAGTAGGACTTACTTCCAAGTAGACATGGGTGCAACAGTGCTGCAAGGCTCTTTCTTGGAGGTCTTCCTTTGTAACATAAGAAAGCTGCCTGGATCAGGCCAGTGGCCCAAGTTCAGCATCACGTTCTCACAGATGCCTGTGCAAAAACTGCCTAGAATCTGACCACAACATCCCTCATGATTCTCAGGAACTGATATACAGAAATATGCCGCCTTTGAACCTGGAGGTAGTATGCAGCCATCACTTGACACAACACTGAGGTCACATGGCATCCACCTGGCTTCTTCCCCCAAGGAGTCCGGGAGCTATGGTTTGGGTCATTGGGTTTGGTGCTTTTGTAACTACAATTGTAATGGCTTTTAGTCAAATGCAATTAATGATTGATTGATTGATGAAAAGTGCTTTTTTCCTGAGATACTAACTTTCTGCATGTCATTCCTTGAACAGCTTCCTGTGCAAAGATAAGGCTTGCTTTCATTGCTCTGTTCATTTGTGCATTTGACTAGTGTTGTGTGGAGGGAAATGCAACCTCAGGGCTGAAAAATGTTCCCCTTCTGACCCCTTGGGTTTCTGGTGTGGCCTTCACAGATAAGGCACAACTTGGGTTTGTGGTGTGTGTGTTTTGGCTGCTGAGCTGCGCTTACCATTGTGAGGGCAGAGGGGGTGGGGGTGATGCCTCCCCAGCTGCTGCCATTGTTGGTGGGTTGACTGGGATGTCACAAAACCATTTGGCACCTGAGCGGGTATAAATGTGGGCCAAGGCAGTTGCCCTCCCCAGAGAGAAATGGGCAGCTCACTGGCACTCATCCCTGGTGGTCTCCTGCCATGTGATGGCAAGCTGGCAAGCGGAAGGAGGCAATGGCCCGGTGCTGGGATGCTGTGGAGCAAGGAGAAGGCAAGTACAAAGTTTACTTGCTGGTGGGATCGCTACTTGAAGGCGACTGATATTCAGCTCTGAAGCTAGTTGATGTCTGGCAATGGACCTGGCGAGGCTGCAGCTGGTGGATGGTGTGAGGAGTTTTCATTCAGGCTAGTGGATGCCACGAGGCTAGGCTGGCTGAGATGGATGCAAACTGGTTTGGAAGCCTTGTTTGTGAACAGGCAGCCAAACAGAGGATGAGTCGGGGGGGGGATGCTGCGGATGGGGGCCATCCCACTCACCTGTTTGCCTTTGCCTTACAGGGATGTCTGGAGCCGGTGAGGTTTTCCCCAAGTCCAGCCTTCAAAGTCATGAAGAGAACCGCAGGACGTCCCTATTTAAATTGGAGAAATGAACCTGAAAAACTGACAGTGAGCTATGGACAAGGCCGTGGCCAGACCTGAGCGAAGGAGCTTTGAAGGGAGACTGCAGGCGGACATCTGCTGCATTGCAAGTGATGGGGCAGTGGGGAGAGAGAAGAAAATGAGGGCCACATTAGGCGCACCATTGGAAGTGCTATGAAGACGCTTTGAACAGGAATGGCTTCTCCTCAGGGATTCTGGGAACTGTAGGTGGTTAAGGGGACGGAGATTTGCTAGGGGGGTTACGTTTAGGGTAGGGGTTAGGGGTAGGGGTAGGGGTTCCCTTCTTGCCAGGGAACTCTGGGAATTGTAGCTATAGTTAAGGGTTAGAGTTAGGGTTAGCGTCAGGTGTAGGGTTAGGGTTCCCTTCTTGCCAGGGAACTCTGGGAGTTGTAGCTCTAGTTAAGTGTTAAGGGTTAGCATTAGAGTTAGGGTTAGCGTCAGGGGTAGGGGTAGGAGTAGAGTTCCCTTCTTGGCAGGGAACTCTGGGAGGGGAGCAGGGCTGTCTCCTAACAGCTCTCTGCACCCTTTTCAAACTATAGCTCCCAGATTCTTTGGGGAAGAAGCCATGAGTGTTTAAAGCGGCTTCATAGCGCTTTAAATGGTGTGGATGTGGCCCTTGCCTCCCTCACCCCACTGCCTCTTATTATTGAGGAATCGAAAGGATTTCCCCACTCAAATCTCTCGGAAACAGGAAGAAGAAAGACTTTGCATCTGATGCCATTTTGAAATGTCTTAACTTAAAATGCCAATAAAAGTATTTGGATTGTATTATATTGTATTGTATTGTATTATGATTAACATGGGAAGTGGAATGGTAAAATGTTAATGAGGCGGACGCGATACTTCTGTAAATTGGCACGCCCCTTCTTGTGGGCGTGGAAGGAGGGACTTGCGGATGGACAAGCAACTTTTTAAGGTGTGGTTTTCCTGATGAAGATGTACCTGATCTTGGAATACCCCACTTGCAAGTGTGCCTAATAAAAAAAGGTTTCTTAATTCACCTATTTTGTCCAGATCACTTTATTTAAAAGGCTCCAGAGACCTTAACTCGAAGGACCCAGTTTATGTCTCACAAAGGGCAAAATAAATAATACCAATCCCTCAACTGCCAAAACAAACAGTCTTGCAGCACTGCAAAAACTAACAGATTTGGGGTCAACTTTTTAAAAATGGGAGGGGGGTCGGGGGGTCTTTGTTTTTGAGGGTGCCATGGGTGTCACAAGGGGGAGGTCCTCAGTCATCATTTCTTTATTAATAAATGCCCCCCTTGAGGCCTAGTTTCCCCAGCCCTGTCTATGTATGGTCTCCTGTGATGTCACAAATAGACATAGCAGCTGAGGGGAAAGAGGCAGTTACTTATTCTAGAATTTCAAACATAGGAGGGGGACATTTTTCAGCCCAGGGGCTGCATTTCCCTCCACACAACACTAGTCAAATGTACAAATGATCATTTGGGGGGGGGGTTCTCTCCCTCCCCCACCTGCCCAGCAGTTTCCCTGCCTGCTGTCTCCCTCTCCATCATCCCACTGGCATTGCATTCTCCCCCCAGCCCCCCAAAGCTTGCTGCGCCCCAAGGCATGTACTCACCTGAATCCTTGCATGGAGAGGGTCAGGGCACAATGGGAAGGGGTGGGTGACCGGGGTGCTTAAACCACACCTCTTTCCCAGTGGAAGCGGATTAGGGGGGGTCATCCGAGAGAGAACAACAACAGAACAGAACAAAGAATACAGAAGACGGAGGTTGCACACAGTTCCTTCTGTTTCCACGCTTTCAAAGAATGGAATGTCAACACACAGAGCTTGTGATCCAGTAGTCACACACACTCTGCCGCACACGGGAGAGAATGCAGCTCCTGACATCCAGCACCCTCTTCTCTGCCTCTCTTGAACTCTTTGACTTTAACTCTTCAGTGCTGTCCAAACTTTTTTCAAAGAGGGCCAGATTTGATGAAGTGAAGGGCCGTGAGGGCTGACCAAAGGGCCGACCAAAGTTGTTAACCTTTTTCCTTTTTTTAGGATTGAAGTTGTTGAGGTTTTTTTAGGATTTTACCCCAGGAAATAAACTGCCACAGGGGCTGGATTAAACCGACTGGACTAGGCCCCCGACACAGACTTTGGACATGCCTGATTTAAGCGCCTTGTGCAGACAGTTTTAAGATTTCCTGGATGATTTAAGCGTATGAGTTGTGCAGATGGCTTCTGGAAGACCTAAACCTCTTCATCTTGTGCAGCTTGTAGAGGGAGAACATTTGCTCTTCAGAAATCTGGGCACTCTTTTTTCAGCTTGTCATAGTCCACGTTCACCACATAGTACTGGAAGACGGAAGCACAGCTCTTAGGATGGCAAGCGTTATCTCCCGTTTGGACTACTGCCATGCAATCTACGTGGGGCTACCTTTGAAGGTAACTCAGAAATTACAACTAATCCAGAATGCAGCAGCTAGACTGCTGACTGGGAGTGCCCCCCGAACCATATAGCACCAGTCCTAAAGGCTCCTAGTATGTTGCCAAGCACAATTAAAAGTGTTGGTGCTGACCTTTAAAGCCCTAAATGGCCTAAGCCCAGTATACCTGAAGGAGCGTCTCCACCCCCATCGTTCAGCCCGGACAACTCCGGGGGCCTTCTGGTGGTTCCCTCACTTCAAGAAGTGCGGTTAAAGGAAACCAGGCAGAGGACCTCCTCACTGGCGGCGCCTGCCCTGTGATACGCCCTCCCATCAGATGTCAAGAAGATAAAGAACTACAGAACTTTTAGAAGATACCTGAAGGCAGCCTGTATCAGGAAGTTTTTTTATGTTTGACATTTTTTATATATATCTTGCTGGAAGCCGCCCATAGTAGCTGGGGATAAGTAATAAAATATTATTTTTATTTATTTAACTAAGAGAAAAGTTATGAACTAAGCACACAAACAAGATGTAGTGTGTGCACCATTTCATGTTTTACTGGAAAACCTTAGGTCACTGTTAAATGGTAGGCAGGGCCTTGGGGGAAATTCCCCCTTGAATCTGACTTATGACTTCAGCACTGCCACTACAGAGTGACAGTGTCATCATAATTTCATTATGGCAACCAGCTGCTTCATTTCCACTTATTTATTTATGTATTTATATAATATTTATTAAGTTTTCCATTTTAATAATCCAAAAAGAACCACATTAAAACATTCCAAATTACAATACAATCAAAAAGCCAAGTATAAATGCCAAATTCTGTATCTTTGGGTGGCTTCCCAAGCTCTGAATTTCATGGAGTGCTAATAATCTAATATCACATTGCATTTCTTAATTAGTCAATAAACCATTCCGATGTTAATCCTTCGCTTAATTTTCATTTATGTTTACAACCACTAGTCTGTTCAAACTTTTGTCTTCATAGTTCTGTGTGAAATATTTTCCCCTGTTGTCCACATTCCAGCAATTCCATTTTTGATTTCTGCCAACAAGAGCCAAAATACGCCACAGTCCCAGACAAAAAGACACCATTAGCTCCAGGCAGCCATCCAGAATTCGCTTCCGTAGTCTCGCACCATCTCCCAACATGCTGGTACCTCTGCAAAAACAAAGTAGCTCCAGTCCAGAATATTTTCCTTCCTTCCACTGAGGAGATAGCAGCAGTGTTTTTTCAAATCCACTTGCGTATTTCAAACTGTTACCTTTCAGGGAAGGTTTACCAGGTAACACTGCAAATACATATATATCAAAAGAGAATAAAAAAGGCTCACCTCCCCCTGGGGTTGTACAATTAATCCATCAATTAATTCAATGAGTGGGTCAGTCCTTTGTACTGTTGTTTCTGCTCCTCAGCGATCTCTAGTTTCATTTTCTATAAACAGAGATATTTTAACTGTGTCATAAAAAAAAGGTAAAGGACCCCTGACAGTAAAGTCCAGTTGCAGATGACTCTGGGGTAGAGGCGCTCATCTCACTTTACAGGCCAAGGGAGCCAGCGTTTGTCCGCGGACAGTTTTTCCGGAACATGTGGCCCGCATGACTAAGCTGCTTCTGGCACAATGGAACACCGAAACCAGAGCAGCACACGGAAACGCCGCTTACCTTCCCGACGGAGTGGTACCTATTTATCTACTTGCACTTTTTGGAGTGCTTTTGAACTGCTAGGTTGGTAGGAGCTGGGACTGAGCAATGGGAGCTCACCCTGTCACGGGGATTCGAACCGCCGACCTTCTGATTGGCAAGCCCAAGACGCTCAGTGGTTTAGACCACAGCGCCACCCGCATCATAGTCCACCATTAATCCTGGGCAGATATCCAAAACTCTGTCTTGGCCTCCTTCCAGCTGTTAATGAGATGATGCCTTTAAACTGAAACGATAGTTCCATCAGGAATTCCTTTCATCTTTCCCTTAATGATCATTGCCAGAATCATAGTCAAAATTTCACACAGTCCGTTTCGTAATTAAGATAGCGTCCACTTACATATTTCAAGCCATTGTGTTTTGGTCCCGACCAAAAGTCTTTCTCCAGATCAAATCCTTTTCAGTGGCTGATTAAATTAGCAAGTTATTTTATCTCTGCTGGTTCAGAGCATGCCTGTTAGTTAAGTCTGAATTTTTATCTTAAACAACAGTTGTCCTTTGTTCATGGCGCCAGCTTTGGAAAGTTGCCACAACCGTGTGGCTTACACCCAGTGTCCCCTCCCCCCTCTTCCTTCTGGAAGGGCAGCAGGTATCAGATGATCTGCGGGTGGAGTGCCCCCCCAACCCTGGGAGGGTTGGGAGGATAATTACTCCCATATTATCCTCAATTACCAGCACGGAAGGGCTCCGGTGTAATCGGCACAGCCGATCGTCATGGCAGACAATCAGGAAGTGTGAGGTCATTGAGTATTTAAACATTAAAGCCCAAACAAAGCTTTAGTTTTCCTTTAGGTCTCAGTTGTTTGAGAGCTAGAGATCACAAAATGGTGAAAGAACATTTTGTGAAAGCCTAGAATAATAGTAATAATAATTTATTATTTATATCCCACCCATCTGAAGTGCTCCGTTTTAGTTTTTTATTTCAGTGGACTCAAGCAAGGCTTAATTCTTCTTTGGATTGCATTGAAAGCTTTTGAACTCCCAGAATAAGCCCTTAAACCTTTTAACAGCTCAAGTTGTACCCAAACGGTGACATTATGCAAGACCAGACACCTCATTTTCATTGTTTATCCTTACTCAACTCCACCTGGCTCCCCCCTGAAAATCAGCTGCTGGGGCTGAGAGCAAGACACAAGGAAGTATTTTCAGAGCTGAACTGCAAGAAACTTACTAAGTGCATAGGAGCCCTGAACAGGCAGTTAATATTACGATTCTTCTGCCTCACATACAGTGAAATTATACCCCTTTGCTTCAATAGAAGGAAAGGATCTCTTTGACATGGTCGATCATGATCTTCTGGACCACCACCTTGCTGATGTGGGGATACAGGGCATAGCCCGTAAATGGCTGTGCTCTTTTATCTCTGGTCAGGGACAGAGGGTGGCATTAGGGAGGGAGATGTCATCGTGCAACTTCTTGGTGTGTGGAGTGCCGCAGGGCGCAATCCTCCCCCCGATGCTTTTTAACATCTTTATGCGCCCCCTTGCCCAGATTGTCTGGAGCTTTGGGCTGGGCTGTCACCAATATGCTGATGACACTCAGCTCTATCTGCTGATGGATGGCCACACCGACTCAGCCCCGGACACACTGACCAGATGCTTGGAAGCTGTGGCTGGATGGTTTCGTGGGAGCCAATTGAAACTAAATCCTTTGAAGACCTCATCCCGACCCTCTGGCTGGGTCGGGATGATATGGGGATGAGGGACCAACTCCCTTCTCTTGCGGGGGCCCAATTAGTGCCATTGCCTTCCGTTAAGAGTTTGGGTGTAATCCTTGATGCCTCCCTTTCCATGGAGGCGCAAGTTACAGCAACAGCCAAGGTGACATTTTTCCACCTTCGCCGCATCAAGCAGTTGGTCCCTTACCTTTCCTGCCCCAACCTGGCCACAGTGATCCATGTGACGGTCACCTCCAGGCTTGACTACTGTAATTCGCTCTATGCAGGGCTGCCCTTGAAGCTGTCCCAGAAACTCCAGCGGGAGCAGAATGCTGCAGCGAGGCTCCTCACGGGGTCTCTGCCATGGGAGCATATTCACCCAGTGCTTTTCCAGCTGCACTGGCTCCCGGTGGAGTACAGGGTCAGATTAAAGGTGATGGTTTTGACCTTAAAACCCTTCACGGCCTAGGACCCTCGTACCTATGGGACTGCCTCTCCCGGTATGCCCCATGGAGAGTCTCAAGGTCCATGAATAGCAACACCCTAGAGGTCCCGGGCCCTAAGGAAGTTAGATTAGCCTCAACCAGAGCCAGGGCTGGCTCCGGCCTGGTGGGACGCTCTGTCTCATGAGACCAGGGCCCTGCAGGATCTGATTTCTTTCTGCAGAGCCTGTAAGACAGAGTTGTTCCGCCTGGCCTTTGGCTTGGAGTGAATTTGATTCCCTCCCCCTCTTTCTTTTTTCCTTCTTCCTCCTGTGATGAGGCTGCATTTTAATTTTTTAATGTTTTACTGTTGTATTTCAATCTTGTTTTTAAGTTGTATTCATTCAACTTGTTTTTATTATCGGTTGTTAGCCATCCTGAGCCTGGCCTTGGCTGGGGAGGGCAGGGTATAAATAAAATTTATTATTATTATTTTATTATTTCAGAACAGCACTGCCTAAGGCAATGGTCAGCTCACCATGTACCTGGAAACTGAGTGGGTGACCATGGGCCAGTCACTATCTCTCAGTCAAATCACCCTCACAGGGTTATTGTGAGTAACAAAGAGGAAGGGAACATGACTGATACTTTGAGCTCCACGCAAGAAGAGCATGGTTAAAAAATGAAATTGGTAATTTCTTTGTCAGGAAGTCAAACCATACAGTCAGTTATGTGAGTATGATCTGGCTCCCTTGAATTTGATTGGTAAAGGGACATGATCTCATGGCAAAATATTCAGGGCCCCTTGAGACTACCTACAAAATAATGACAGTCTGGAAGAATCCTTCATTCTTCTGCAACTGAGTTTATTATTATTTTATGAACAAATGCAATACTAATCAGGCAATTTAAGTTATGTAACATGGTCATGTTCACACACAGAACCAAATCCACTTAGGAAAATTACTTGATTCTAATCGCCATTGCTAGCTGCGATGGAGACGCCATCTCTCCTATTCATTTTGACAAGTCAAGCTTAATTGTTTTCAGTATTCTGTCACTGGGATTGTTGATTTTAAAAAGGCCTGTGGATTGAAAGTGGCATTAACACATTAGCTAAAGGTTAGTTGTTTTAATGGTCGCATATTCAAAACTGTGTTGCATGCCTTCCAGCCTCATTACCACAGGAGGCTACAATACTGGTCAAAAAGGAAAGAATGAGCTAAATAACACAGCCAAAAAAATACGCCTAGGATTTTGATGGAAAACAATTTGTTATTTTATATTTAACTGAAATAACTGATTGCAACGGAACCTTCTTTTCCCACACACCAATCTGTTTATCTCATCTATTGGGAATTGGTTGCTCTACAAATAAAAGCTAAAGTTCTGAAGTCAGTAAACATAAATTCCATAAGTAATGTCATAAGGTGTTTGACAGAACTCATGGGAAAAATAATACCCTGCCTAATGTATGTTTACTCAGAAATTAATCCCACAGAGTTAAATGGATTGTTCCGTTCATGCTTCCACGATTGCAAACTAACAAAACTTGAGCTTCCCTTATGCTGGAAAGCCCTTAGTAGCAGACATTATGTAGACCAGGGGTGAGGAACCTCAAGTCCAGGGGACGATTGCAGCCTCCCAGGCCTCTCTATCTAGCCCAGTGTTTCCCAAACTTGGATCTCCAGCTGTTTTGGGACTACAATTCCCATCATCCCTGACCAAAAACAGCTGGAGACCCAAGTTTGGGAAACACGGATCTAGCTCTTGAGGTTCTCCCAAGGCACACACATACTCAGATCCTACAACTTGCCTAACCTATTCCATGCTTCCTCCTCATGCTTGTGTCTGGCTGGAATGTGTCTTTGAACAGTAGCATAGTGTCACATTCAGAAGTGCAGCATCCCTTTGTGAATGTCATGCCCCCTTACACAGCCACACCCCTTCTAAGCTTATGCAACCTTATAATATACAATATTATCAAAAGTATACAATAATTATTAATTTAAGGACACATTGCAGCAATCAACACAGATCTCCATGTCCTGTTATTTTGTGTACACAAACATCAGCAAATGATTTGGAGTGCTCCAATAGCTTTTGGAGTAATTATAATTATTTATTATTTATATGCTGCCCATCTGACTGGATTGCCCTAGCCACTCTGGACAGCTTCCGATAAATTAAAACATCAAACACAGTAAAACATCAAACACTAAAAACTTCCTCATATAGGGCTGCTTTCAGATGTCTTTCAAAAGGCAGATAGTTGTTTATTTCCTTGACATCTGACGGGAGTGCGGGTGCCACCACCGAGAAGGCCCTCTGCCTGGTTCCCTGTAAACCTCACTTCTTGCACTGAGGGAACCATCAGAAGGCCCTCTGATCTGGGCCTCAGCATCTAGGCTGAACAATGCAAGTGGAGAGGGTCCTTCAGGAGTGACTCAATTTGTGTTTTCCTAGGAAATCCATTATACATAAAAGAACCTGCACATCATTCTCTTGAAATGGAAGCACCTTGTGTTCTCAGTGCTCCTAGATGCTTAGCTTTGTAGCATGCAGGGAAATTGTCCTTTGATGTTCTTCCCACATATTTTCTCCAGAGTGACCCTAGGAGCCAATCCTCAGGGGCTGACTCACCTCCTTTCACTCTGATCAGCTCAAATCAGCGCAAAGGGTGAGAAACTAAAACCAGTAACTAAAAAGCATTCATGTTAATTAGAGAGTTCTAGGATGCTGGAGGCAGGGGCCCTGCTGCAGAAATACTAGCAAGTCTTTGACCCCTGCAAGCCCAGACCACTACATTTCTGCTTTTTCTTCCCTAGGTGGAGAGAGGTATGTGGAGTGAGGGTGTAGAAACCTCTTACCTTTGCATGGCTGCAATGTAGCATACTGTATAAAGGTAAAAGCTGTGTGCATAGTTCCACCCAAATAATAATAATAATAATAATAA